CCGCAGCTCCGGGGAGCTCGAGGGCGGGGCCGCGACCTGCGTGGATGCGCACGAGGCACTGCCGACCCGCCCCCGGCCTCACCTGCACGCACCTGGCCGCAGGACGGCGCGCCGCGCCCAGTGTCCCGCCGCAACCTGGAGGATGAAATAGTTCCTGAAGCGCACCACGGCTTCGGCGTCGATAGGGGAGCAGCTGCAAGAGGAGCAGAGCCAGGCCGTCTACTCCAGAGGGTGACCGGCGGACACAGGGCCAGGTCTCGGGACTCACGAGCGGGATGGCATGGGGACCGGGGCGTCGCGGCGCACTCCCTTGGGCCCGACACCCCCGCATCTGCTGTGGTGGCAGGCAGGTGCCCGAGGCACAGTAACACGATCGGCCAGAGTTTTCAGCACAGCGAGGGAGGGGATTGGAGTGACGAGAGGTGGGGACCGGTGGGGACCATAGGGGTACGGCGACCGGGCCGCCAGCCGTGTGTTCCACTGCACAGTAGCTGGTGGTGAAGTGACGGGCACAAGCCAACCCGATGCGGCGCTTCTGTGCTACCTTTCTACTCAGGCCTGGCCGCCCTGGGGGAAGATCCGGTCAAAAGCCCTCCTCCCTCTTCTGCGGGTCCCCCTCCCCCCAACCCTGCAACTTCCTGTTAAAGTTGATTCGTGTTCCTGCCCTCCCAAAAAAGCGGATCAGCCCGTGACTGTGTTAAGCAGGGGTGAAGGCCCGGGAGCCAGTTCCACAGTGGGGGAACAGGGCGGGAGTCTCCAGTGTATCCAGCCACGCAGAAAAGTGATCTATTTTTAATGGCTTTGGCTTTATGGCACGAAGCAGGCACCCTCTCTTTAAAGGCACAGAGTCCTCTCTTCTGTCCCATCTCTTGGGTCTCTGAAATCTAGTCCTGAGTTCCAAGGGGGTCAGTTTAAGGCAGGGATTTCAGGCCTGGGGCTTGGAAGTGCTGCTGGGGACAGCTTCACTCTTTTGAGAGTATGAGACACCCAGGGCCAAGGCCCAGACTACAGGCCAGAGTCTGGGTACAGGAGGCAGCTGAGATGGTCCCTGAGAACAGACAGTTCAGGTTCCCCAGAGCAGGCTTCGGTCCCCAAAAGCTGTGCTCAGGATCAGTGCTCTAGATCCCTGGGCAGCGTGAAGTCCCTGAAGCTGTAGAAGGAAATGTCACCATGATCCACCAGGGCGAAGATCAGAGGGACATCCCCGCTCTGGTAGGATAACCGCTTGAGGCTGCAGAGGTCTGGGACAGGATCATCAAATCTGCAGAGATAAGGGGTAAGGCTGAGACCCAGCCATAGCGGGCTCCAAGACCCTAGCCCCTCTGAGGCTCCTGAGGGAGGGAGCGTATGAGACAGGTCTGGCCTCTGGGTTCTCCCACCTGCAAGCTGCATGGCCCTGATGAGTTCTCCAAGGGAGCCCCAGCTGGTGAGGAGGAGGCGAGGAAGGGAGTCCCACAATCCACCCCATTCTGCCGCGTGAGCCCCAGACTAATGTGACATGGAAGACTAGCCCAGAGTGCCAGCTATGAGGAGCTGTTTAGGCTTGGGTTCCATAGTGCCGACTGGCCATGTGGGCTTGGTGCTCACTTAACCAACCCCTCTGCATCTCAGGTTCTTCTCAGGGATCGGCAAACTGGCCAGGGTGAAGAGGTCTGTGTGAACCCTGAGAGCCGGGGTATTCTCATTCCTCGTACCCACTGATGCACATCCGGGCATAGGGTCTGCCAGGGTTATTCTTTCGGAATGTGGCCACAGCATCAGCCTGATAAACATCAAAGCTGATCTCCAAGCCCCCGGACTTTTCCAGCAGCCTGAAAATAAAATGAGAAACCTTAGCCTACAAACTCTCCTCCCCACCTTTTCTACACCACCCCCCACCTTCCTTTCCTTCCATCAGTTCAGGGAACAGTCTTACCTAGGGGAATGCAAATTTGAGGTGCCACTGAGTAGGCTCTGAACCCTTGGATAAGCCCACCCGTGTGTCACTCCTCCCTCTTAGATACATATAAGCATTAGCTGTCCCCTGTAGCTAGACGCGTGGCTAGGGGCCTTTGGAGAAGGACCTTCAAGCCTTCGCCCAACTCCTGCTGGCAGCCAGTGCCATGGAGATGGGCACTGCTTGGAAACTTACCAGGCACCTCCATCTGTAAGGTGTGTTGTCTGCAGCACCGATATATGCTGAAGGACCATGGCTGCAAGGACAAGGGACTGGTGAGGAGTCAGCGTCTACAGACTCCCCTTCTTTTTGAGTTTGCCATCTAGACAGGATTGCCAGAGTTGATGATTTCTTTAGTATAAGGATGTCCCATGCAATATTTGGACTGTACTTATACTAAAAAAAAATAATTTTTCTGAAATACAAATTTAACTGACCTGGCAACGTTAGTCTAGCTCCCTATGATCTACTATGTTCCATTAGGATTTTAGATAGTTTTGAAGCCAGCCCATTGTGCAGCAGGTAAGGCTCGAGCATAGGGAACTGGATCCCACATGGCCACTGTGGCTTCTGTCCCAGTTCCAGTGACTTGAAAACACTAGGCGAGTATGCACGTGTGCACCTCAAATATTTGAGTCCACTGCTGTCTTTAGCTTAGCTCGTTCTTGCTTACTAGTTCCCTGTGGGTAACACTAAAAGCAGAGGTCAAGCACTTCTCCCCCTTTTGGTCTTTAATTGCAGAAGGCATGTGCACCTGACAAAGAAAGCACCCCTCAATGGGTCATGGTCACACCGCAATCCTTTTTTCCTCCACCCCGTCAGGAATTTGGGCATGCAAACAGCAGCATGGCTGGCCTTGAGGGATTCAGCTCCCCACGTACTGCATGGAGCCACTGTACATGGGCCAGCCCAAGCCTTCCTTTTATCTGGCTAAGATGGCACCTGCTTGCTCCAGCTACAGGGTTGGGGAAGAGGGGACCACAGCAAACTGCTGGCAAAGCCATCATGCTTGTCTTGTTTAGGAGCTGAAGGACGTGGCTATAACAATTTTAGTGTAAGTGGCTCAGGATCTCAAAACTCCCTGCACTGGCCCTGCTGTTGCCACCTGGAGAACTGTCTGTGCTGAGGGCTCCACTCCCCTGGACACCTTCCTGCCCACAACTTTCCTAAGCCTCGGTCAGTCCTGGTCAACCCGTGCCCCTCAGTCTTAACTTCCTCAGCTGTCAGTAGCCTGTAGGGTTGCGGCAGGTGAGGGGGTACCTGGGGAGTCCGCCTGGCCAGGGCTCAGCAAGGGGGTGATGGGCTGGGCCCACAGGTGTGGGGGGCCACTCTGGCTCTTCTGCAGGTGCCGCCTGTGCAGGAGATCCTTGTACTCCTGCCAGCTAGAGCAGCGCCGCACCTCAGGATCAGCATTGACGTCCTTGGAGTGATGGGCCTCCACCCATTGCTCCCGTTCCCTAAGGGACAGCTTCTCCTTGCGCTGGTTCAGCTTCTGGCACCAGGACTCTGCATCTGTCTCCCGTCCCAGGACGTTGGCTGGGAGCAGCTCTGGGGCTGGGGCAAGCAGGAGAGTGTGGCGGCTATCTGAAGCCATGTTGGGGAAGAAGATCTGCTCAAAGTTCCAGCGCGGCTTGCAAGCCTCCTCGACCCCATTCTCTACTTTGTTACTCTCCAGGCTGTACCCTGCCCCTTCCCTGGCTGGGCCAGGGCAGGGTTCCAGGGACCCCCGAGGCTGAAAAGGGCCTGGTGGGCCCTTCACAGGGCTGGATTCCTGGGTTCTGTCCTCTGGGCATTGGCTGTTCTGGTTGCGGAGAGGTGGGCTGGAGGCTAGGTTCTCGGGCTGCGGGGTGTCCTCCAAGGCCTTGGCTTTCTTAATGGACCTGAGGGACATGGGAAGAAAAGCAGCACATCTGCTCCTGACTGCCGAGGTACACGTCCCATACCAGCTGTGGAGGACAGGTCCCCGACAGTCTTCCTGAGCTAACGCAGAACCCCCCTGAGCCCAGCCATTAAGCTCATGCATTCTCTAAGGTCCCAGACACCGGCCCCCTGGAGTGGCCATGGCCAGTGCACATTACCAAGAGCTAGAGCTCCTCCTCTTCCTCTTGCCGTGCCCATCCTTCAAGTATTGGGCACTGCCGGCCAGGTTCAGCTGCCTCTCATAAGGGGACAGGATAGAGCTATGGGATGAGAACAGGGCGGGCGTCAGAGCACCTCCTCAGCCTAGTGCTCCTAGGCTGAGAGCACTGATCAGTAGGCGAGACTTTCCAGAAAGGCACCTAGGGGCAGCCACAGGGGCCTAGCTGGGCACTGCTATCCAAGCCCCTGGGACTCCCCAATGGTACTTTTTTTTTGGAGAGGTTTTTTGCTATAGGGCGCGTGCGCTCACCAGACAGACAGAGAGAGACATAGAGACAGAAAACGAGAAATCACCCCCCAAGGGGGATGGTCACGCCGCAATCCCTTCTCCTCCATTCTCCTCTCGGGATCTTAGGCACGCACGCATACACACACACGCGGCGTGAGGTTTAAGCCACCGGGTCCTAGACGCGAACCGCGGTCGACTACATGGGAGTCCAGCGACATAGCCATTACGCTAACTGCTGGTTTCCCCCAATGGTACTTTTTTTTTTTTTTTTTTTTTTTGA